TTTTAAAAGTGATAGCACAGGTCTGTGAGAGGCAGCTCAAAATGACTACTTCAGCTACCTTTCCCCCCTGCCCTTCCAAAGCAATTTATTGCATATCCATTCACTTAAAAAAAAATTGTTGTGTTAGAACTCACCTCACAAAAACGAAAACTGAACATCTCCAGTCTCTGGGAAGATCTGTCAGAAGCAGCAACACCTTCTTCAGCATCCCCATCTCACTATATAGGGCAATTAACCTTCCCAGTGTTTGCCAGATAAAGGCATATTCAGGCTGGAATTTAATTCTACAGCTGGTAAAGCTCTTCTCTCCTGCCGCTGCTGAAGACAATCAGCATCTTATCCATTATTTTGTCTATTTGTCTGGACAAGTGCACATCAGCTTTTGCTTTGCAAGGAAACTTGTTGTCAGATCACAGAACTGACATCCTTGTTTTTCTGAGTTTTGCCTCTAATTTTCTGAGTGGTTATGGAAAAATCTCTATAGACTATATTTTCCCTCTGTCTGTATAGTTGACATATATCCTACCAGCACAGTAGACACCTCCTTTCGAGATGGCAGTAATTTCTCAGTCGTGAAAAGGCCTGGCTAGCCTTTTATTAAGCCTTTTAGACTCTGCTCTCCAGCCAAAACCCAAATGCAGGTGACAACTTTCTGCCCACCTGAAGTTCCTCCTGTGTGTGTGATGGCTGACCACATTACTCTGCACTTGCAGTCATGTCACCTGCCTGTGTCCTTTTGATATATTTATATCCCTGTATACATGTACCTGCATGTATGTGAATTCAGACAAGCCGGTAAGCAGCTTGTCTCCCTCCCTCCCCCTGTACGCTGGCTGCACCAGCGATGGCAGCAATGACCCGTGTGAGTGCGTGTGTCTCTGCCCCTGGCAGGATCCCGGAGACAAGGCTTCCCTGATGCACCTATCCTGCTTCTCCTTGCCCTCTGCAGAGGCCAATGCTTGTGTCAGCTGCAATGTCCAAACTTGGTTCCTAACACCTATCTGTTTAGATCATAGACTTAGGGAAGCAACACAGCTGAATTTGAATGTCAAATCTGGTGCAATGAAGAGGTTGCTGATAAACCACAGAAACACACCAGTGTCCTCCAGTAACTGGAACTAGTAAGGCTGGGCCACCGAGCTGTGGATCCAGTCTGGAGCTCTCTAGCTGCTCGTTGCAAACAAACAACCTGTTCTTTTGTTTTCATGTGTCAGAGACCTAAATCTACAGACAAACTGCAGACATGTAATTGCAGGGAGGAGGAAATGCAGCTTATGAAATAATGGCTGAAATAGCCACTGAATTATGGTTGTTGTCAACTGCCCACATGCTATCAACACAACGTTAATAAAGATGCAGTGGGAATGGATAAGAGGTTTAAAAAAAGTCTTAGAGCAAAAAGCTGCAAGAAATTAATTGTTTACCGAAAGAGGAAGGATGTAGTAGCGAACTGGTCAGAGAAGGATCTTCAGCCATACTGCAAGAAGCTGCTGCAAGAAGCGCAAACTGAATGCAGGCAGAACTGGAAACACAGCACGTATCTTTCACAGCAAGAGGAATTCACCAGTGAGACGAGTGACTCAAGCACCAGGGTGAACCGTGTATTTCGGTAAATCATGAGTGGATGTTTTCACATAAGAGAGTTGCCTAGATCAAGCACCCTTGTATAGAACTTGAAGAAGGAAACGCTTCAGGGAAATCCAAAGACCTGTATTACGCTGAGATCAGTCTAAGCAATCATAGCCACATCTTCTGGCCATAAAAACCCATGACTCTGTTAACCTCTAAACTTACCAGCCATGTCTGATTGTGCAATATTTATTCCTGTTTATAGTACAAATAAAACAAACTAAGCACTTTGTGCTACTATCTCAGTGTGTGCAATTACTTCCTAGATACCATGTAGCTACTACTGTGGCATGAAAGGCCAGCTGCTGATTAAAACTTGCTAGTTAGAAACAGGTCTTCTGGGGTCTGTTCCATGTTCTGCCTACATGCAACAAAGCAAGTAATTCTGAGTGGCCAAGCCTGAACATGTTGTCTACTCTCTAGAAAGCTAAAATTAGCATGCTGCAAGTAAACAACTTTCTCACGATCTTTCTACAAAGAAGGCACCTCAAATTGGAGCTGATCTGCCAAATCTCATTGCTCTTATTCCATTTCCCCACCTGTAAAATGGGGATTGACTGCAAAAAAAAAGGGTAACTTACTTCACGTGGGATGACTATGAAGTATCTGCACTTTGTTTCCAGGGGCAGCAAGAATCATGATATTATTGCAAGGGATGTTTGGGGATTGGGGAAGGGAATGTCCCAAAAAGAGTTTACAGGGGTAAACTCATCCTGCAAAAAGAAGAAAGCATGGGAGGTCAGTGATGAGAGCTGGGCTGCCTGCAGAGGTCTAAATCCTTACTGTCACTGATGAACCCAAGGAGTCAAAGGCTTCAGTAGGGAAATGCCTGCTGTCCGCTGTTGATGATCTCTCTCCTTCTCAAGGCCTCCTTTTCTCCTTAAGGAGAGATTTTTTTGAATCTGCTTCGGGAGAAAACATTAGGGTTTCTCCTCTATTTGTGACAGTCCTTTAGGACAACCCTTCCCAGTTCCTTTCTCATTAACACTAATGGTGTTTTACAGCTGGAGTGCCTTCTCCTGTGACCAAATGCCAGAAGGAAGGGCTGAGATGCCAGAGCCTCCCGAGTTAGTGCCAGGACTTTCTGAAGGGGACGTCTCCCAGTTCAATCTTCCAGCCGATTGAGAATCACTGCAACTGGAAAAGACAGCAAGGAAGCTCGAGTTGGAAGAGACAGGCTAAATTCCCTTGGACTGGCCAGCAGCAACAGCCATCCAGCCAAGACACATGCCATCGGCTGTCAAACCCTGTGAGACATGGGACGATGCACATTGAACAGTAATATCCACCAGAAAGCTGAGTGCATGATCCACCTCAGAGAGAGCTGATCCTTTCATTTCCATCTAGGAGTGATCCTGCCAGTGGACACTGTACCTTAGTAGCATGACTTAGGAGATACCTCTGTGCAAGTCATGGCTAAAGATGTAGGGGAGGAACCCATGGCGCATGCACAGAAAGGTGACTTTCTGGTGGATGGCGACCAGTTGAAAAGGGAGCAGGGAGAGGGACAGCAACATGTGTACCCAGACCCCCTGGAAGAGTAAGCACTTTACTATTCGCATGTCTTGGCTTCCTTTCTGGTGCGAGTGTTACTTTTAACCTCCTTACTCTTTCCACAGCCTCTCCTGCAGTTGAATCAGACTGCCAATATTGGCCTTCAAAGCTGCACAGTCAATTCCCCAAACTTCCCATCAACCCTACTTGTATCCCAGGTCCACAGACTACAGCAGAAGGAACAGATGCAAGAAAACAGCCATCAGCCTCTCTTCCCATATTTTGTTTTCTAGACAGATATTTATCTATGCAGGTCATTATCGTATGAAAGCTGAGGCAAGAGGACATTCGCTGTAACCCAGGGGAAGAAAAAGAGTTAGGGCTGGCATGTTGGATACATTGCATCAGCTTGTTGCATTTTTTGCCTTTTGCATTTAAGTTGTGTCTTTTTCCTTTTTTTTTTTGGCTCACATGTTATGGTCTCCGATCCCCTGCTTCTATTCCAGTGTCGCTACACAATTGCATGCTTCGGCTCCTACAGTCACCGCTTCTCATGGGTTGCAGGAAAAAGAAGATGCACAGGTCTTAAATGTACTTCCTCAATAACAGGAAGTCATCTTACCTTCCACTTTTTTGCTGAAACTCTTTAGCTGGGGGGAGAAAAAGGGAATCAGTCTGCTGTAAAGGGTCTAAAATCAGTTGTGCTTCCACGCCTGTGTTTCACGTGAAACAGAAAGGACATATATTTTAGTAGTACCCTTTTCCAAATCACACATGAATGATAGAAATAACTATATTTCTCGAAGTGCAGGAGCTTCATTTCTCTACGCAGCACATTGTGCTTATTCCTACAAGGTTTTTGAGACATACAGCATTAGATATTGAGTTAAGAAATAAAAGCTAGATGTTCTTGTTCAGTTTTGGTTTATTAGCACAAGAAGCTTTCTTATCTATCGAGAAAACACACTGCAGGCTGGCGAAGCTACTACAAGGAACAAATCCTGGGAAAAATAAACCAAAATTGTTATTAACAAAACTACTACTCTTAAATTTCCCAAACCTCATTTTTGCTTTCATTATCTCAATTACTTTCTCAGCTTTAACCAAAGCCCAAGTACTTGAACCTAATCACCCCTAAACAAACCAGACAAAACTCCGTTGTTTCTAAGGTTGAACATGCCAATTATGCTTAATTGGCCAGATGTGAAGATTCCCCTTAGAAGCTGGTAATTAAGTCTTCTCCACAATTTATATCATTATACAAAGTAGCCTCTTCATCCCCCATGAAACAGAAGAAACTATACACAAAAACCAGCAGCCTCAGCAATGAAACAGAAATTGAGCATAACCACGGCTAGGTCTGTACTCACTGCCATTGTGCTAACCACACCATTTGTCTGTATATATGAATGACATCAAACTCTGCCGGCAGAGGCTAAACCAAACCTTACTAGTTTTATGTAGAAAATATATAGGTTTATGTAGGTACAAAATTTTCATCTCCTATGAATCAGGCTATTTCATTTCACATGAACTTGGTAAGAAAGTGATAAAAACCCATCAGCTATGTTAAGAAAATGTCCTGCTTCTACCTGCATCCTGATTAGGCCATTCACAGTTGTAATGAAAATATTTAACATTTGTTTTAATCAGATTAAAAACAATGCATAAACTTTAAAGATTATATTTTTATATGTCACTAGTATCACCTATTAAAAATAGGAAGGATTTTAAAGATGCAACTTGCTTATTGCTCATGATACTACTTTCATTGAATAAGATAAGTGAATCTGTGATTATATTGTTTTGACCAGGAGAAGGAAAGCTAACAGAAACATGGATATTGATTCTAAGATTAATTAAAAAATCTTGGAAAAATAAACTTGTAACAAAGTTGACCTAGAGGATTGTCAACTAGACTATGTCTGCCAGATCAGTCATAATCAAATTTGTTTTGAAAGTCCAAATAGACTATAGGTCAGCTCTAATGGAGAGGGTGGTTTCTTATTTTATCCATTTCTGAAAGCTCATTGAAAAGAAGCATATGTAACAGGAAAGATCATTAGCTTTACACGCCTCCAAACTCTCCGGGCTATCTGCTCAAACAGCAACACTGTTGGGAATGCGATCTGGGGAAAGGTAGTAGTAAGGAAGCTTTTTGTTCTTGTTGCGCTCGGCGATGGCACTGACGATCTCATCCAGATTCTTGCGGAATTTTGCCATAGCCTCTTTCACCGGCTTCTCCACGAAGTGTTCATCTGGGTACATGCCCAGAAACAGCTAATTGAAAAACACCAAGAAATCATGCTTTGAGAAAGCAAAGGCTATTCTGTTTCAACATTATGTCATCCAGCAGAACAACACCCAGAGCCTCAGAAATGCTACTTTTAAAACAGTACTATCAATATTTAAGCTAGCCTACATTGGCAGTGCCAATGAAAGATGCTATGCTGTCCCATCCTCCCTCCACCACTAGCTGCTTCGTTTCATCCCTGCATCTTTTTGTAGTGCTGGTTCAGGCGTCTATGTGGCACCTCCTCCACCTGCAGGGAGCTGATCCACTGAAAAATAAGCACTTTTTTCAGGATAGGGGTCAGCCACATCAGCTTCCCAAGCCAGATCTCTGTGTAGCCACTCAAACATTTGTGCTGCTAAAGAAAAGGATAGCATGGGAGGGGAATGAACAGCCAGGGATGAAAAAGGAAGATGATTGCTTCTTTCAGTGACAATGGAAGTTTCCGTTGACTTAAAACTGTCCTTCAAAGTTCAACCTGACAGTTGCTTTAGTCAGCTTGGACTCTAAGGGTGCCCTGAATACCGCATTGCCAATATGCATACTGGCATATTACCTGCTTTAGGTAACTATTTCCCATTTTACTACCCATACTACTAGCTTCTCAGCTGAAATCTGCTTTCTTCTTGAAGAAAAACTTCCGCAGCACCCTCTGTTCCTCATCTTCCATTTAAAGATTTCAAAATACATCCTCCAGACACGGCCCTTGAGTGAGACAACCGCGTACCTACAACCTCATTTTACATGTGGGAAATGGCTATAGACCATGCTTGCAAAGCGTCCTGTAGGCTTGTTTTGTTTGCACTCCGTACCAGCCAGACATAAGCCACAACTGTAGTGCATGTGGCACTGGGGCAGATTTTCCAAAGCGACAGGACATGGGGACACAGGGGTGCTGTAGCTTCTCCACCAGCACTGCTGGGACAAGGAGTGGAGAAAACCATTGTGCCTCTGCAGCCCTCTTCCTCCCACACCAGCATCCTTTCTCAGCAATGCCATACTTGAGTTTAGAAACTTTTATTTTGGCTGAAACACAGCCTCAGAGTAAAAATACGACTTCTCGCTCAGAGCTGGGTTGCATCTGGCAGAACAAGGGCAAACTCACACCATGGATACATCTCCACAGAAAGGCAAACATGGTCCAGTCAAGCACTGAGCAGCACTACAATCTCGTGAGCCCGTGTGGTCTTGCCATGGCCCTCGTGGTCTCACCTACATCTCCACCACTTAGAGAAGGGAGGTCAACTTACTTCATTGTCCTGGAATTGGCTCAAGGCCCAGACAGCTCCAAGATGCCAACAAGAACGTCCCCTGTCTGGCAGACTCTCCACAATTTGCTCGATGGTGACGGTCCCCTTTTCTGTTGGAGGAGGGCGGCGCATTGTTGGTGGGGCATTGGGAATCCAGGAACACCAGTCATACTGTACAACAAAGCAAGACAGCACAGTGAAAAGCTACAGTGGCTGGTATTTAGGAACACTGCAAAGAAAATCAGGAGTCTTGACACAAGGGGGTTTGCTTCTGTAATATGAGCCTCTCAGAAAGAGAAGATACTAACTAAAGGACAGAGAGTTGCTCTAGAGAAGAACTGAAGGAGACAAGGAAGTCCCTATGGAAAGAGTTGGGTTGCCTTCATGGGAGTAGTTATTCTGCTAACCACAGGCATGTGCCACAGAGCCCCGATTCACCAGCCAGGCTAAGGACTTAGCTATTTTATTAAACAAAGGTCTCTTCTGATAATCTGAGGCAACCTCTGATAAAAGACCTACGATTGATAAAATCTCCTTTTCTCCAGTTGCTCTTTTCTGCGAAATGAAAGAGTTGGGTTGCCTTCATGGGAGTAGTTATTCTGCTAACCACAGGCATGTGCCACAGAGCCCCGATTCACCAGCCAGGCTAAGGACTTAGCTATTTTATTAAACAAAGGTCTCTTCTGATAATCTGAGGCAACCTCTGATAAAAGACCTACGATTGATAAAATCTCCTTTTCTCCAGTTGCTCTTTTCTGCGAAATTTGCTCTAAGAACATGCCCACAGTACTGTGGTCAGGCAGTAAGAGAGGCAAAGGACGCTGGTGCATCACGGAATATGGCAAGTGGATGTGGCCATGGTGAGCACCAGAGTGGGAACTCAGAATCACTTCTGGCCTGCTTCAGTGTTGTGGGATGGTGATGTCTCAGTTTGCCTCAGATATGACCCTGAGTTTTGCCACCATCTGAGATGTTGCACTTACCATAACTCTTCCTTTTCCAAGCACTTTTTCATTACCTTCATACGTACCCCATGCCCTGCCTGAGGCAAAGTCCCATTTCAGCTGCGTGCCATGCTTACACTGTGCTCAATCTGTTCTCTCCAACGCATAGCCATCTCCTCCTACCCTCAGCCCTCTCTCTCTGCCATTTTTTCCCATGGCTGAAGACCCTTTTGCTGATGGGCTGAATATCCTCTGCATGCCAAATTCCCCCTCTCATTTTCTGAAGGCTCTCTGCTAAACCCCGATAGCTGGGGCAATATTAAGCGAAGGTTTCTTAGTGGTACTTAAACAGACAGGATTTCCTGAGGGGGAGGTTGGGAGATGTCTCAATCACTTGTAATGACAGGTTAGAAGTGAATAGTAGCAGAGGTCCCTGGTCATGGTTGTGGCACAGGAATAGTGTGGATCATTTGACACCTGGCTCTAGACCTGCTCCAGGGCTCCTGAGCTGCAGGGGTGGACAGGAGGGTCAACATGGAGAGTGATGTGGAACGTGTTTGGGAATAATTACCATAGGAAAGATGGTCTCCCTGATTATCTGTGAGATCATTCACGCCTGAAGCCAGAACATGTGCCAAAAAAAAGCTCATAGAATCATAGAATATCTCAAGTTGGAAGGGACACATAAGGATCATCGAGTCCAACTCCCTGCTCCTCTCAGGACTGCCTAAAACTGAACCATATGACTAAGAGCATCATCTGGCCGCTCCTTGAACTCTGACAGGCTTGGCACCATGACCACTTCCCTGGGAAGCCTGTTCCAGTGACCGACCACCCACTCAGTGAAGAAGCTCTGTGCAATACAGCCCGACAAAGAGATTTGCTTCTGGCTGTGAAGTCTGCTTTCCAAAATGCCTTGATGTTGGAAGAAACAGCATTTGAAAGGCAGGCTGTTACTACAGTTTCAGGGTAGATATATGTCACTAAAGGCAGGCAGGGATAACACAGGCTATCAGTATGTGACACATTAAACATCACAGAGGAAGCTCAAAGTTGCCAGTTGGCTTGCAAACTCAAGAAATGAGCAGCAATGCCCTTTCCATGCATTGGGAATATTAAGCACATTGGTGCTTTTGAAAACTTGACCATACATGACCAAAGCCTAGATCCTCACAGTTGTACTGCTTCAAGTTTCTATGTATGTCAGCGGGAGTTAAGTACTGAGGATCTGGACTCCTGTCCCGCTGATTTCAATGAGACTTTACCTTGTAGAGGCCTGTCTGTGCTGCTGCATAAAGTAGAAGTGGAGGTCCTGCAGATGGGCACAGCAGCTTTCGACTAGTTAACTCGGGACCCTTGGTAAATGTTCCATTAGGCCAGCTAGATCACTGTACTGCTGGGACTGAGCTGTTGGAAGTAGCCAGCTGCACCAACTCAAAGACAGATGGCATATGCAGAGACATGAACTGCAATCACAGCACTGAGCTGTGCTGCACATGTTCCCGAAGCCACATCTGAAAATGGGATGTACGCTGCTTCGGCACAGGCACACTGCCAAATTAGTGCAGCTTACAACAGCAACCCACAGTAGCTACCCGTGAATGCACTCACAGCAAATGCAAAGCAAAGCCACTTAGCATAACTCATTGCATTTCATTGCAGAATGTGCCACAGACTACCAGCACATACCCGGGCAGTTCAGGTGGTGTCTGGAAGGCGTGGTAGCTAGACTGTGCACCTGAACCCTTCAGCATTTCTAAAAGAGGTCTTAGCAACACATTTAAATGCTCAAAAAAATTGTTCCCCATAATAAAATCATTAAAACTAAAATATACAAGCTAGAACCCCTAAATTTGAGCTTTGGTACCTGTTTAGGACTCAAAAATACCTTTCTCAGCTTCCAAAATAATTCAGTTTCTATACGCTTCATGGGGATTTGCAGATGGCTCTGCAGTTATTTTGACCAGAAAGAGTAACGTAATGTCTGCACATCTACTAAAAAACATTTCTCAGACCTTGCCCTGGTAGATGCATCTCCCAGCCCAGAAAGAAGAACAGTCTTCCAAGAAATTCCTACCTGACCAAAATTCACAGCTGCATGCTGGGCCGATGTGGTGAATATTATCACCGTGAGATATTCTGCTAGCTTCTCTCGTGTCCTGATCATCTTAGGAAACCCTACATGAGGGAGAAGAAAATCTTAAGTAACGCAGCTATGAAGTAACGCAGTTACCCAGAAGTAATCAGCTACTCAAAAGGCACGAGTTAGAGGACTGTACAGCAGTCACTGAAGAGCAGGGCATTCTCTTTCTGAATCTTGCTGTGTGGTCTAACGGGAGTTACTCAACCTCTCTGTGTCTTGGCTGTCCAGCTGTAAAAACAGAGTGATCCTGCCTTACCTCACACAGGTTTGTGAGGCATCACCACTGTTTCCAAAGTACGTGGCTTTCTTTAAGGGAAAGGTAAAGTATAATTACACCTTTAAAAAATACTGTATCCCTGTCCTCTCACCCTACCTACCCTGCAGCAAGGAACCCAGAGAGTCCACAGGGCAGGCACCTCAGATGCTCCCTTTCTCTTCAGTTCTGCAGTGCAAGCAGGGAAGGTTCATGCCAAAAAGCAAATGACCATGTGCTTGTATTTATAAAGGTCCGAGGCTCAGTGATCAAGTGCACTGCGAGAAAGAGTGCAGGGAGAATTTATTTGCTGAAACGGGAAGTGAGGAAATGAGAACTTCTGAAAGAGAAACAACAGAATGAGGAACAGAAATAGTTGCATCAAGCTGTCTTTGAAGGGGAATAATCAAACGGAGCTATATAAAGAAAGAAGGGAGTAGTCAGGGACTAGGGAAATATTTTGCCACCAAAGCACCTCCAAGCCTGTATCTCTCTTATCCCCACTACGTCACAGTCCCGTGCTGTACTCCCTGTCCCAGCCCAATGTGACCACAGGTCCCAGGATTCCCAGAGACCTGTCAGCACCCTGGGGCAAGCTGCCCATGCTCAGGCTGCCTGTGCCAGCTGCTTCACATCTCCACCACCAACCTGATGCAGATGTGAATTCAACCTTAGAGGGGGAAGAGGCACATGGTAGCTCTGGCCAGCCACCAAGCCCAAAAAGGAGAGAATGCACCATCCCTTCCTGTGTCCTGCTATCCTAAGCACACTGTGCTCATCTTTAAAGGGGCTTGGCATCCTCCCAGTCAGGGCAGCCCTCCCAGGGCAGGAACGGAGACTGGAGGGGGAGCCCCAGGTGCAGCAGACTCCCCCATTTATCCTCCTTCCATTCTTTACAGACCCAGCCAAGTCCCCCTGCTCTCTGCCCCAGCCCTTGGAGTGGTAGCAGTGCAGAAAGGGATGCTGCAGGCCTGGCAGGTTTCCCTCCTGTAATGGCAGTCCTGCCACCAGTGGTGCTTGTAGTGACCCACCCCAGTTGTAGCCCTGGACAGGCTCAGTACTTGTCCCATATCAAGATGCTCAGGTCAAGCATGAAGTTCCCACTAGCAGGCCATTTCTAAGCTTTTCCTAAGAGACAACCAAATAAACAAAAATGCTAGCAACTAGGTGTCCCCCAATCCTTTGCTCGTCCAGGCAGGTAGAGCCCAGGAGGCTGTTATACACCAGCGCATACTGGTAATGAGTGGAAACATCACAGTTTTGCCTGGAGGTCTCACACACAAACATGTGCATGCAATGCCAAAGCCATCTGCCCCAGATCACTGGCCAACAGGTGTTTCCAGGTGTAGATCAGTCAGGACAGTACAAAGAATCCCCACCCTCCTGTATAAATTCCTGAAAACCTGCTTGGACAAAATGTGAGTGGAAGAAAAAAACAGGTTTAGGGAAAGGCAGGAGAGTGGGAGAATAGAGCCGTGTTACGGGTGAGAGCTCCCACAGCCAAGTAATGGTTTGCAAGAAATGAGAGGCAGTGAGAGAAGACAGAGCAAAGGAAAATATTTCTTGGAAAGAAATATGAGTATCTTCTCTTGAAGAGAGCAGAACAGCTCAGCGATGACACAGATGCTGAAGAAATGCGAAGTGCAGCAAGATACTCCTGGGGAGGTTCTGACTTGTACTTATTTGGTGCAAGGTTTGGAGGAGAGGATCCAAGGGGGGCCTCACTGCTCCTTGTAGTTTCTATCAGTCTGCCTGGAGGTTCCAGCAGCACATATAGACAGGCCCTCCCCTAACGCTTAAAGCATGAGCAGACAAGATCAAAGGACTAATCCCCAGTGTACAGAGAGACTACACGAGTTGCCCAAGCTCATGGTGAGAATCTGTGGCGAAGGAAGGAGCTGTCTCCTGAGGGAGGGAGGGCCTGATCCAGGGTCTCACCCATAAAACTGAGCATCTTTGGGCGAAGAAGGGAGAGGGTCTCCACAGTTCAAGGCACGCTATGCATGCAGCATTGCTGTCAGCAGGGACTCGACAAGCTGCAGACCTGGCTGGGCCATCATACCTTACCTGAAGCCTTCACGCCCCTCATCCCATAGACGTAAATGTCTTTGATGAAGGCCTGGAGCTCCACATCCTCACACACCACCTCGTCGCTCTCATAGTAGATGTGAATCACATCCTCTGCAAAACTGCAGACACAGGAACAAATGAACAAGACAAAACAAAAAAGAGAAAGCAAGCCTGCCATTCCCTGAAGACCTTCTACTGACCTTGCAGAAGAGGCAGATGCTGCACGGGGAAAGAAAGAAGGGCAAGAGCAGGTCTCAACACCCTCCTACCTCCTTCCCACAAGCAGTGGGAATGCACAGAGGCAACTTTGATTCACTTCTGACTGCAGCATCACTTCCTCCCCCAAGAAAAAGACGCTGGGCCGCACTGCATCCCCTGAACAGTCCTGTGCACTTTATTCTCTTATTTGAGGCTCTGCTCCTGCCCAGACCTCTGTCTTCACATCTACATCCTTTTCTTCACTTAATACAGACTCCCTCTGGCATATCCACATGGCTCTCACACTGGGAACAGGGGTTTTCAAACTGTGATACCAGCACCATCCCCTGTATGTGGGATACTCCAAAGCTGCTCCTGAATACCATACAAATAGTTGATCCCCTCCTACCGCACATCCTTTTCACAAAACCCAAGTGGCACACTCCCAAGTGGGGGTGGCCCAGGAAACTTCTCTTGGGGAGAAGAGGTCTAGACCTTTTTCCTACATCCACTGCATACAGCAGACATCTCCCCCCTGTTCAGTTCCTCTTCTCAAAATCACTCCTTCTATACAAGCTTCCCAGGCGAATTCACCTCTTAATACTCCAAGATAACAGAAGTAGTTCTGAAAGCAGTGAAAATAGGAAAGCCTGATTTCCAGCAGATTTGCATCTCATGACTGAATGACTGGTTAACTGAGCTATGCTGAGATATTCTCTTAGCTCTGCAGGTACCTATAATCTCTTGCTAAATATTTTGACAACAACCCATAGGGTGAAACATTTGACTGCGGAAGCTGACTGATGGGCTTAAGAATTGTTATCCAATACAGATTTATCCCCTAATAAGCTATAAATTTATTGCAATTTGGAGACCTTTACAAATCTGTCAGTATGATTTCTATTAGCCAACCAAGTCAAGAGTTGTTATTGAGGTAGACAAACAACTGCATAAACTCCAAGAGTTTAAGTAATTTTGGCTTGTGCCAAATGCACACAGAAGGTAATCCTTCTCTTACACAACGGCAGTATTTTAGACCTCCTTCCCTGCAAATGTAAATTAGTGTATGAAGTGTGGATGAGGCCTTTTGGGTTGGAATATTTTGGGTTCGAATATCTACCTTGCAGTTAGATCAGAAGTAAAAAGCTGTGTATTAGAGAAGGAGTTTAAAAATTGCTATGTGACCCTCAGTGTTTCTACAGGGACACCCTTATCAGCTTTCTTAAGTCTAGGCCATCTACCACATGTGAAGCAACGCTGGAGATAGAAGTTATTTCATCAAAAGAGTAGAGACCGACACCCCTGCAGAGCATAGGAGATTCATGATGACTAGACACACGCATGACCGTGGGTTTATGGGTCAGGATATCACGCACTCAGAAGGGTACTGCCCAAGCCATTTATAAACCAAATCATTCACTTACAAAAAATCTCGCAGCCAAGTCTGAGGCAGTGTAACATCTTCCCCAGCTAGGTTAACACCCACAAACAGTCAAACTAAATTGAGTTGACTAAGTACTATCTGATATTTGAAAAGGCATACCTCAAACAGCAAAGAAAACACAGGAAAGAGAAGAGGGACTACATAAAAAAAAAACAACCACAGAAAAGTTATAACTTCCTTTTCTCTCAAATGGGCACTAACAATTGCAGGAAATATTGCAAGATAACCCCTTGCCAAAACACAGAGAAAACACAGGAGATAAAGATGTACCCAACACTTCAAATATTATGCTTGCATTATAAACCCCCTACACAAAAGATACGATTCTTAATGAAAATGCTTTTCAAAAGCCATGTGACCAGAAACAGCTGCATATTTAGCATGAAATTTATGTCATGCAAAAATACGTTGTTTGTTAAATGAAATGCCACTGTAGAATAAAACCCATATGAACCATTCCATTCTGAGGCAGCGGTTCATATCTGAAAAGGAGCCACGTTTGTATGGTAGAGCAGCCCTTCTGTACCTCTCCTGACTCAGAACTGCTGCCCTTCCTGACAAAACGGGCCTTGCAATTTTAAGGTATTTTAAAAAAGGTTTTGCTCAAATCAGTTAATGCCTAATTTACTTGGTTTCTTAACACAACTCCCTCGTGCAAGCCAAGCTTACATTTCCACTCCACAAGAACCTTGACAAGCTCACATGGCTGGCTCAGAGAGCTGGGTTCTCTCTTGGTTTGTGCATAGCTAAAAAAAAAAGCTAATTAAATTCCCTTTGCAGGGTTAAATTCCAACTCACTAAGCTCTGTGAAATCCTATAGAAGAGTACATACTTATAAACGGGCCTCTGAAATACAGAATGCAAGAAAACAGGGCTGAAAAGAGCAGGAATAAACAGTCTTTCAAGAATGAGGGCTTGTTTGACCATATATTTTTCCTCAGATGAGATATGCTGGATGGAAAAGGCTCCACGTGACTAAACAGTCCAGGTGCTGTTCACAAGGCTGTGATGAAGAGTAAAGTGAGGAGAGAGAAAATGAAGTTGTGCCTCTCCGACAGTGACTTTATTAGCCATTGCTAGAACTACAGTCTGTTACCTCTTTATAGACTCCCAGACTTTAATGCCATCATCCCGGTAATAGTAGTAGGGGATATCCTCTTTGCTGTCCATCCCTTTAGCTTTGATCTCCTCAGGGAAGCAAAGGGAGCTATAAGTCAGATCCTTCATTGCTTTCTGCACCATTTGTACATGTCCTCCTCCGCCTGTAGCATTTGCCTGCAGGAAGAATGGCAAGACAGGAACAGCAGGAGATTATGTTCACTTTGGCCGACACTGGCTTTCCAAATTTGCAGGAGACGGTATTCAAAATCCTGGTGAATATGTTTTTCAAGGAGAAAACCACACCTCTACACGAACAAGTACCGAACTGCAAAGGTCTACTGCAACCGTGCATTTTGATTTCAGAGATTTCTCACCTCTCCCATGAATCACTGTTAATACTCACATTTTCTCCATAGGTACAGCACATGCTTCTAACGGAATACAGTAATAAAGCACAGCAACATCGAAGTATTGAACCCAAAGCACTTTCTGCCAGCCCTATGCTCCAGAACTGGTGTGTGTATGAAGGCAGGCAGCCAGCAGGGCTGGCAACCAGGGCTTTTGCTAAACCGCCCAATGCTGCTACAGAGTGGTTTAGGAGAATGTATTTAGAGATGCAGACTACTGTTAGCCACCCTGGAATTTAAACCAGGAGATCAGTCCTGCTGAGTGGCTGCTGATGAGGATTGGCGAGGGTTTCAGTATACGTTACATTTGGAAAACATAGCATGTCCACAACAAATGGCACGGCAAAACTCTTTAGATAATCACTGCACAAAAGCTCTAAATTTTGCTTTTCTAGGATATGATGCTAGCGCTGTAGCAGTATTCAGCTTACACTTATTGTCCTCTGGCTGGTTGTTCATCTACATCGGAACCAACAAATTCTGGAACTCCAGGATCCCTGCTGGCAGGTCTTAGCCACACACTCATCCCACGTGCACAGGGTACGGACATGCTTCTGTTCAAAGGGATGGCAGTGCCTGCCAGGTCTCCACAGTCAGCAGTGGAGTACAGAAGACAAGGAAGGTGCCTGGATTTAACCTCTCTTTTCTCCTTCGGTGAAAAACTCCGGAGCATGGAAGCTATTTTTGGTCTGGTGCCAGAGGTATAAGGGGGACAGAGTTGTCCTGAAACACAGGCTCCCTCTTTGAAAGGACTTCTAAAACCTCCCCAAACTTCCCAGTTGCTGCTAGCATGTTGTCACAGAGACTGCTGCATGCCCTCCTGTCGCAGTTCCTAGATGCAGCATGTCGTTTCTGGTGGAGCCAAGGGAGGAAGAGCTGGGTACGTGTTAAATACCAGTGCAGTCAGATTTAGATGTTCAGATTTGACCCAAGAGTTGCACCACAGTCCATGATAAACAGCTATGTTTCACTGACTCAGATGAAGCTGAGTTTTAATCCTAGCAAATCTGCTATTTACGGCAATTCAAGAAGGCAGGCTGTAATCTACACGCGGTATTTGCGAGCTTAGAAATCTCTCTTATTTACACCTCTTTCTCTGTGAAGCAAATTTTCTCTTGCATTCACAAATTCTTTTGCTCACCACCCTTCCCCAAGATGAATAACTGAGTACTTAAAAGAAATTGGGGACTTAACTGTGTGCATACATGTGCAGGGATGTATGTGCGTATTATGTTACCTTGCACTCCTACACTCATACCCCAAAGCCACATCAGCTGTGAGTAAGTGAGATACTGACTCACTACTGACATTGGCCAGTTCTGAATTGGCCACTTAGAGGTAAAAGATGACACCATCTTTAGGACAAGAAGAAATGAGTTAACTTCAGGCATCAGTTCTGTGTGCCAGTTTCTCAGGTGGTATTAGTTATGTTTGCCCTTTAGTAGAAAGGTTGAGAAACAAGGCAATATGTGATTGTTAAAGGATAAAAACACGTATGGAACGTATGGAGAATAAAGAAGATTTGCAAAGGTATTACTTACCTTGTCAAAAAGGCCACATTCACAGATAAGCTGTTCTCGGGCTTTGGTATTGATGGCTATTGTGAACCGCATGTGTGGCACCAAGAGCTGTGAAATGGGACAAACAACGAAAGAACGAAAATTCTCTGATTGAATTCAACAGCAACTAGGTGTAAAGTTTGAAGTCCTGGAAGTCCTGGTGGCTAGCTGTACATTGCTTTGCAGTGCAGCCAGCCAAGCTATCTCAGCTTAGCTATCACCAGGACTTCCTTTTGGTTTATCAAGCTAATGTGATAACCTCCCTAACCCACATACACCCCCTCATGCAAGAACCAACCTTGAAGAGGGGATGCACAGCAGGCAGCTGCCGGAACATAGCTATGCTGAATACCTCCGAGACTAAGTGTGTCCGTAAGAGATGGGTCACTGTCTGGTGGATGTGGAAATCAGATGAACGAACCCAAATTTTAGCTAGCAGCCAGTCATATGTGGCATCTGAAGGAAGGAATATGGGATTGTCTGGCCCAGGCTTTTGACCAAGCTGAAAGATACAAAAAGAATACAAAATCCCAAGTCATTCATGTTTAAGATGAGACAACAAGCAATGTGTCCCTTTAAAGACCCTGACAGAAAGCCCACCTGGATTGCAATGGGTACAATTTTATTCTCCAGATTCTTATACAGCAGACAGATGGGTGCAGCCAAGTACTGTATGGTGCACGGGTCTGTTTTGTTGGCATCCACACCATCCAGCAGCTCGTAGTCCACAATGAAAATGTTTCCTTGCTGAGGGGAAAAACAAAACCAAAACTATGATGTGTTTTAACGGAGTGGAAGCAGCAAGGCTCGGAACAAAGGTTGGGAAATCTCAGCCAGAGGCTGGCTTGTGCCTTGTGGTTACGAGCGGCCACCAGCCTGCCTTTGCTCATGATGGCTCAGGAATGATGCCATTGAGAGAGCAAGCACCTTTACAAAAACTACCTGACTTGTGTCTGCTAAGCCTGATATTTAGCCTTTCAGCAAAGAACAACCAAGTACTTGGCATTCATGCGGTGACACTAAGATGCAAACAAGTTTCACACTGCCAGCTGAAGAGACCCCTGTGCTCATCGTACAAACAAAAGCAAGGCACCACCCTTGCCAACCCTTCTTCTGCATGTTAGTTCAACTCTCCGGGTGACAAGCAGGTGAGACCCTACCAGGAAAGGGAGAGGCCCTTTACCCCTCTGAGGCAGATGGTCAATCCCTAGCCTTTCAGATGAAACCACTGAAAAAGGACCCTTCACCTCCTGGTGACATCTCTTTAAATGGACCTGGAGAAAGGCATGGCCTGCAGCTCTAGGATAGCAGGAGAAAACAGTCAACACAGGTGTTGCCAGTCTGCAGAGGCAACCAGCTTTGCCATGACCAACCATACAGCGTGAAGAGAGGAGATGTGGCAGAAGGCAGTTAGAACAGGGTTTGGACGTTAGAGGATATGAGAAGGAACAGATTAAATCTAACCTCACTCAGAGCCCCACCTTCACTTCCTCCTCCAGGGTCAGGTTCCTCTCCAGACTGCACTCTACCATATCCATAGTCACAGGCAACTTCTTGGGTATCTCTGTGCATCTCCGGATCAGCACAGGATTGCATCCATTCAGGAACTGGTAGCCAAACATAAAATCTTCCTTCCAGTGCTGCATCACGTATTCTGAACGAAAAACAAGCCTGCAGCATCAATATCTGCACTGCATCAATATCCTACAGCACTGTAGGATTCCTCCCTTCCTCCCCACCTTTTGTTCTACTGCATTGCAACTTTGACTAAAGAAAGTAGCAAGGTGCCATAGAATTTTCAGAAAAATCACTTAAGTTAAATGGATGATGTAATATTTGCTTTTCACTTCGAGAAGAATTGAATTCATAATGATTTGTTTCTCCATGTACAGAAGCAACGAGGAGTAAAATATTCCACTCCTATGAAGAATACACTCTCCATCTGCAGACCACCTCCTCAGGTTTTCCATGATATTTTTAAATCTCACTCTTTAAATTCTCAGGGTGTGCAGTACAGAGGGATGAATCCAAAAAAGATAGCACAGGCAGGAGAAGGGAAATACAGAGCATAAAGAACAGCAGTGGCTGGAGCAGTTCTCTTAGCTGGAGCTGGGTAAGGGGTACCTGGGGAAGGGGTTTGATTTTGGGCTTCTTAGTAAAAATGCTCACTGGTTGTGTGGTTTGGTTAACATTTTTCCCCCCTCTCTTTATTTTTCAATTGCTAATATAAACCCAGATTAACATCTCTTCTTAATAAAATGCTAGTTTCCAGTACTCCATCTCCTTACTATTACATATGTAGTACTACTGGATGTTTTCCACAATTGCAGTTTTCTGTTTCATAATGTCACGTCGCCTCTTCAGCCTAAAGGTTCAGAGTCAGAAAAAACATGATTAATGTGAAAAATCCCATTGGTGTCTTCAGGGGAAAAATGAAGCAAGCAAAGTTTTCCACTATTGCCTATTTTCAGACAAGGCAGAACTTTTTCTGAAAGTAATTTATTTTTCTCCAAAGGGTGAAAGGATGAAAAAGATAGACCTGAAGGAATGCAGTGATGATTTAAAAAAAAGTCTCAAAACTCACAATGCTTTCTAACAGAGCGGAAAAAAGTTAAGATTACTTAAAGTTCACTTACATCATCTCTGTCAATTGCAAAATGAGCCTGGAGCTGTATGGGAAGTCTACACCAAGTGAAAAATGACTCATCACCTTGGATAGAAACTGCATGACTGAAAAATGCCTTAAACCACCTCCTCCATTAGCCCTGTTTCTGTCAAGGCTTGCAACTAAGCAGATTCAGAGTTGCATTAACATAACTGGGACCAATGCTTAACGTTTAAAACTCACAGAATTGGAGCTTTCCTCATGAGTATGGAAATGTTATCAATGAAATTAATTGGAGATGGTATCTTATTCCTGTGTTAAAAGTACTTTAGGAAGCAATCTTATTAAATGTAACGAATTGCTGTAATTAGTTTTTAATAGATCTGGCCACCTTGTGTGCTTTATTTTATACCCGAGACTGCAGAAATTACTCTTATTTCTGATAACTGGTCCTTAGGCAGCCTGAAGAGGAGCAAAACTTCAGAGCAGGAGGGAAAAGTATTTTCCTTTGCAGAGTCTGAACGGGCTATTCACACACATTTGAGGAGCCACACGCTAACCAATTTATAGCATCTGTGTATCTATCACATCCAATAATACAGCAAAATAAAGTAAAATAATGTAACCATGGGCGATAGTAGAAGGTTGGGTCTGGCTCACAAATCAAAGGCTTCCCAGCTCTGCTTTACAGAAGTGACACCATGAACTTCAAAATCCATGTCTGTCTGCAATTCTTTTTACTGGGTTTTCAAGTAACTGCTAAGATTTCCATATTGAACAGGGCTAAAGAGAAGAAGTACTTTGGTTTTGATATGTTAATACTACATCAACGGAGTTTTTAACAGTATGAAAGATACTGCAGGAACGGAATGGCCCTGAATACAAAAGTGAAACTCGCGCTCTTAGAGAGGGATTTTTGTCTTCGAGTAAGGAGATGTAAGTATGAAATGGCAAGCACAGCAGGACATTTAATGCAGTACGCACAACTAATTCTGACACATTTTTGAAAACAGATGACATTTTGGATAAATGCCACAAGCCTTTTCAGGCCTAGCTTGCACTAATTTCCGATAAGAACCGCGGTTCCTCGGGTTTTGGTGTGACAGCCCATCCTGGCTACAGCAGGACCAGGTGAAGAAGTTACAGCTCCCAGGTCATTCCCAGCTCTTTGCAACCCATCCCCAGATCTGTTGGCCTAACAGCATGGGCTTTCATGCCTGAAACGAGTTTGTCAAAATGATCCCTGTTGGGAAAAATTTACCACTGAAAAGCATTTGAGCTGCCCCATGTCATTGACACGCACGGCCCAGGAGAACTGGCTGAGGGGAGCTACAGGTGAGGTTATGACAGCAGAACTGAGGCAGTGATACCCTCCCCGTGTGGGGACAGGGTTGAGAAGCTGGGACTGTTAGCAGCAGTGCAACCAGGACTGAGCACATGGCTGGGATGTTAGGCAACAGACTTTGATCTGGTCTGTGGAAGAGGCAAGGGAGGTCACCCTCGTACTTGCCTTTAGGGGAGAACATTTCCAAACGTGCCTCTTTGGCGATTTTCCATGTATTTAGATGGCTGAAGTGGGACATACACAACCAAACTTTCAAAAACGCCTTAACAGCTAATATGCTCTCCCACTAAGCTATCTCTAGATTTAGATGCGAAATACTTACGAAAATTTGTCCTATGGGACTTGCACATATCTGAAAATACATTTCTAAAAGGCAAAAGGGACTAATGATGCCCAACTGGCCTGCCCTCCAGTATAGCTCAGGATGGAGAAGGTCACTGAGCAATTCCCAGTAATTTTAGTTTGTGTGAGATCATAGCTTTGCTTTTTGGTCTTGCAGGCTGCTGGTGTGATCAGCAGTCTGAGATCACAGTTTATTTATGAAAAACCATGGGAGAGCAAAAAGTGCAGGTCAGCCACTTGCATCCTAATCAGGCATGTACAAGACAACTAATTAGTCATTCTACGATGCAAACATGAGCAAATGCTGACAAACCCACCAGAGATTGTGTTGCTGATTCTGACAAAGATCCTCTCAAAATCTGCAAAATCACTCCAGGAAGACTGGAACATGTGCATGAAACGGTTGACATAAAGATTCTCCATCCTAAAAATAAACCAAAACAAAACATCTCTGAAAAAATAATCTCCAGCTTCCTCAATACTCTTCCCCATTCTTTTCCACCCTTTTATATACCTACACACAATAAATTTTTCAGTGGTGGAATGTGAGATCGGTCATCCTACAGAACTAAATTTGTTGGCTGTACCTTTACACACAAGCCTCAAAGGCATCTGAAAGGCCAAGTCCCTGCTATTGCATTTACTGAACTCCATTCTAGAGGAGTTCTCGGCAGTCTACAATGATAGTGCTTTAAGACCTATGTCATATAAAAACTACAGTCAGAAAAACTAGTGCTTCACACATCGTCAATATTAGCATCAGCGGAGAAGTGCCAAGATCATTACCAGCACCAGTTCAGAAAGGGGGATTGAGTGATTTGCACAAAGTCAGAACAAACACAATGCAGGATCACTCAGTATTCCTAAACAGAGAACAGCTCCTGTAAGTATCTATGTGACCAAGGCCAGACTGGATCCCTGTAGTGTCAGGCCTGAGTTTTTTGAGAGCTTTCTATTTACTTGAGCTGCTGGTTAAACTTGACGTTCATCTCTAACCTCAGGAACCAAGTCACTGGGTTGCAGACATCACATGAACATGGGGGGCTGGGAGCCAGAAACGTCTGACTTAAAGTGCTAATTCAGCAAAGTGTCTACAACACAGTCAAGCAAGTTCACCTCGTATGAGATGACAAGTCCTAAATCGTTACATAAATGCTAAAGTGTTATTAAATAGAAATCATTTATTTTGACTAGAAAGCAAATAATGGATTTGAAAAAGAAAGTTGGCTTTCCACTAACATTTCAAATGCGCAAAGAAAAGCACGCGCATCGCACAAAGATAAGCAGGGCAGATAACGGAGTAAAGAAAGGTCACAGTGTTGCAGGAAATCCTCCCAAACAGAATTTGAGGGAGGAAGAATCCCAGGAGGGTGGATTTATAATCAGTAAACTTAGACTGAGGCACCTTAAAAAGAACCGGATTAGAAATGGCTGAAGAGGACCAAAAGCCTGGAAAAAGAGCAAGTGGTAATCTGGAGGAGGGCTCTAGATCAGCATGACCATAACCCAGACAAAGGAGCTGCTTCTGCAATGAGCCCAGACGGGGTGCATGTAGAATGGACTGTTTCTGCCGCTGCAGGTGGCAGTCAAAGTTAAGAGGGCCTGGAGGCATAAACTCAGGCAACTGCCTAGCCTGGAACAGGAGATGACCTCTCTTCACACCTGACAAGGACACAGAATGATCATACAAGGATCAAAGGGAGGTAACTACTGGGCAGGACTTTCTGGATAGATACTAGGTGTATCTGAATCACAGATGAACTTCAGAGGAAGCATTGACCATGACCAGAAGTTTAAATGATTTTAAACAACATAACTCAGTAGCTTGAGAGGAGTTACTTGAGACTGTCTCATATCAGAGTTTCCACTAAAGGTCCTGTAGAGCCTCTGCCCTCCTTCAGAACTGCTCTGAGATTAGGAAACACCAGACACATGAACCAGTATGTACTGCTCCTCTCCTGCCCAGGGTGCCCTTCCTACCTGGGGCTATTAGCCTGATCAAACCAAGCAGCAGGCACAGCACCCAGGATCCAGTCACAAACCTGCTGTGGTTTGACCCGCTAAATGCCAGGCATACATTCATTCTCAGATGTTTCAAAAATTACTTCCTAAAGGCAGCAGTCTTTCACATTTCCTATCTTGGAACAAACTTCCAAAGTACTTAGGAAATAAAAACCTGTTTTCCCCAAGAAATCAAGTACTTCTCAGATGTCTCTGGCACATACTAGAAACCAGAGCAAGGAAAAAATGGCCAAGAGTTGCTTGTAGAATTTAATCTGCCCAAATGCAACACTGGTCCAAAATAGCTACGCAAGCCTGCGTTTCTGGCACAGAATCCAGGGTGAGGGTTTCCGTTTGCTAGATAGCGTAGGTCACATCAGCACCGGAAACCTTCAGGATTATCCCCACCTACACACGATTAATCCTGTAAACTTACAGAATTATCCACTGCCAAAAGCATCTAAAGATCCAATCTTGCAAGAGCAGAAGGAATCTCTGAGACATATCTCCCTCTTTCTAAGTTCAGTTTTGCATGTCCCAAGCAAAAGGGCTTTCCCCTCCCCTCTTCCACTACTCCCTAAGTCTCATATAACCCTCACAGCTCTCACATTTTTCCTTAAGTGTGCTCCCTGCGCACTGCTACACCTTGCAACTCTACACCTGCTCTTGGATTTCCAAACACACCTCCCTGTCTTCCTTCCTACTGCACCCAACTTGAAGGAAAACCCCATGCCTTCCCCCATGTATCTCCACTCCATTCATGCAGATAGTTGTCCCAAGTTCCCAAAGCACTATCAAAGTCCCAAGGCTATCAAAGTCATTCTCCAAACCTTTTCACAGGTCACCCAACCAAAAGCATAGGTCTAGATTTTCAGCCAAATGTGCCAGGCAAGAAGCATTGCTGTTCCTTGGAAAAATCTCTTGTGTCATACCAGTTCTCCAGAATGGCTGGCTATCTGCAATAAAGTTTCAGGTTCCTACTTCATGGGGAGGTGCCCTTACAGCCAATGACAAAAATAGATGTCCCTGCACTCTGTTGAATCGTTTGCAAGTTTCACTTGGCTGCGACTCCTGTTCTCTGACAATATGCTACAGACTGGCAGGACGGGATTGCTGGAAGGGGAATGTAGCCTCCAAATTGGTTATGTCTACGAACGGCAAACCGGTCGTCTCTGGCTTTCAGATGTTGTTGCTCCTGCATCACTCAGATCTCCTAAATGAACTGGGAAACACCTGGTTTGCACTGGCTAACACCATGCTAGAAGCAACAGCTCTTGGAAAACACAGGATTTGTAAAAGTTTGGAATACCATGCCATTGCTAGGGTTACAAGAAAAGAGCCCCATGACCTTGCATGGGGTTTGTATATTTTCACACCTCTCCTCTTCCCTTAAAGGAGTTATTCCTTGCCTTTTTTGAGCTAGACTGCTTCCTGAAGCTGGGCCAAGAGAAGAGCTGCACAGTGTTTGCTTTCTTCCTTTGCTTGGAACCTCTTCTTGGTTTTGACACAGGTTTATTCACAATAGGACAACACAACAACTACGATGGGTTTTTCCCTTTTTCAGGATGGCCTCACCCCAGCTCTGTTTCATGGTGAACAGGTTGTACTGTTGTCCCACCTAATTGAATCTCAGAGCACTTCACAGATATGCATGGGGGTCTCTTCCCAGCACTTTCTGGGCGGTAAAGTAAGTGAAATTATCAAATGTGATAATTTGATAAATTCAAATTGATAATTTAATTTATCAGTTTGCACACAGAGGGAAGCTAAACCAAGAATTAGAGACTGGCTGTGGTAATCTGGCCTGCATTGTATTAAATTCTTGACTACAGATCAAGAATGATCTCTTCTGGCCTTATAAAAAAAATTGACTTGCCTTTTAAAAAATACTATGTAAACTTCCACAGTTTTCTCGGCTTATTTTTCTTGCTTTTTTTTTTTTTAACTTATTTTCCCAAAGAACTATTTCTGACGGCCATTATCAAGTCCATTATCTGCTGACTAAAAGGCCCCTGCAGGGCTGCGTTCTAATACCTGTCTGTGGAAGGGGAACATCAGAGTCTAGGGTTTTCCAAGGGCCTATGGTTAAGGCCCCAGACTCTTTAAAACTTCTTAAAGCTTTAAGAATCCATTGAATGCTAAAGGGCTGCTTGAGGAAAAAGGTATTTCATTAGGTGAGAAGGGACCTCAGCTTCTGGCTCATATTAAAGATGAGAGATTTGGTTCTTCGGAAGTCTAAACATAGATATAAAGTTGAGGCAATACATGTGCCACTGGGTAAGCTTGGGGGGCAGGAGGCATCTGTCTGTCTTTTGTACCATTAATCTAACTCCTTGTGTGAACCCACAGCCACTTCTCTGGTATAACAGCTAGTATTGCATTAAAAAGCTACAAGAGCACGCACTCTACGGCCCATTCCATCATTCTCCTAACATCCTAGTTTGCACGAGATAGAAAGCTAGAGACCCCTGGTCTTCAAAGCTATTCAGCTGCCTTATTCCAATTAGCTCTGAAAGATCTAGGTTCACCCAGCCATATGTGCTGCAGAAACACACCCATCACCCTGTTCACACCTGCTGGAGATTTATTCCGCTAAAAAAAAAGAAAAAAGATTTCCTGATGTTACAAAGCCTCATTCCATTGTGTGGGGGAGTTGGTAATGAAATTCAGTTGCATAAATGTAATACCAAGAATGCTCTGACATGCAAGGTTTCAGTCACCACCAGTTCCCCAGATGGACTCAGATTAGCAAGTATTCACTGTTATTAGAAGCTGCAGGTTTCTCAGCGTGGCTATTAAACTCCCTAGTTCTTACCAATCTATGCTTGATGACAAAATCTCCATCTGATCACCCAAATAACGGGAGGAACACCTTTCCAAAATATGAAGAGACCAGCATATTAACAGTAGAAATTGTGGGTGATCTTGGACCAATCTTGTCTCACCTCAGACTATCCCACCATCTGATAATATGGTGGGATGTCTGAGATAGCATGATGTGACCTGGGCATGTGAGACAGCTTAGAAGAGGACTCACAGGTCAGAAAGGTCCTATTTGCCTCATTAACCCTGTACTATTTCAAAGAGCTCTGCAGGACTGATTATTCAGGCTCATCCAATGGCCAGGACTCTGTTTTTTTCAATGATATGACATGTGCAAGTGGGTGGACAGTGACTTTGTTGCCCCAAGCAGATTACACTCAGATGTGGTTAGCTGATGAGCTGCTCAGAACAGCTTTTCTTCAGCAGGGTTTCAAGGGTGCATTGATACCATCTTCTTTTGGTATGTGACTGAAAGGCTTAATTACCGCAAACAGTCAGGGGAGAGAGGTATCTCTAGGAGGCGACCCCGAGAACTAAGTCAAAAGCCTAAGGTATCAGGTGCCAATAGTCCTTCTTCCTACGCTTATCACCAGTGCCTCCTCCATCCATCTACAGCCAAAACAGTGTCTAATGAGAACGCAGAGCCTCAGTCAGTTCCCAGCGTGAAAAGCTTAAAATATTGATATTTTTTAAAAAAATTTCTTCAATTCTTTCCTACTTTGATTGATTGCAGATCCAGCTGGGAGAAAAGAATCCAATTTTGAGATTTCAGTGAAACCTAAAAGGTGATCAGATCCTTACCCTGCCCCAAAAGAGATTTTGCAAAACTGCTGAAGTTCCACAAGCACTTACGCTTTAGAGTAGTTCAGAATGAAGTCAATTCCTTTCTCATTGTCAAACTGGATGTCACGAGGCAGATCACTGTGAGAATGGGCATCGATGCTCAGGGGAAAGCCTGGATGCCACTCCTTCCAGCTGAGAAAACAAGAGAGGTTGGATTAACCATATAACCTTACCAGCACAAGAGCTGTGTCATTACTTTACCTACACTACTCAACTCTATAACGTGAATTTGTGGCAGACTCATTTGGGCCAAAAATAGTGACTTATACCACACCAATACCTACCAGTACCCTACAGAATCCTGAAGTACAATGGAAGGCATCTACTTGGCCACCTACCTTCACAAAACTTGAAGTAACTTAATATCTGTGGTATTTCCAAACACTCATCACATTTGGTTGAAATTGGCAGTAGCTGCAAATGTATTGGGAGGGGAGGGGACAGAGAGACAGACAGCTGCCCAATGCACACTCATTCTTGTGGCTACATTTTTGCAGAACTGAGATACAGCAGCTGAAAGTACTCAGACATGTCTTTAGGTTCCTCCAAAAGGCAACTCTCCAAGAGACGCAGATAGTCTTGATTCAGGTCCTCAGAAGAGTCTTACTTCCTAATTGTCATTGCACGCATTCTCTGCCATGTATGTTCTTGCACTGTATCCCATTTTTACTCCAAAATAAAAGAAGGCGATTTGTAAAGAATACTGTTTCAATGGTATTTCCAAATTGCCCGCCACACACAGACTCTCTTGTGTGTTATCAGTAATGTATCTGAATTGAAAACAGCTATTTTCCTGGAATTACAAATGGTTTTGCCTTCTTTTTTGCATATGTAAATAAAATTTTGTGCCACACCTCTTTTTGAACTATATTTTCCTCTGTTCTATTTCCCATAATTTGTAGGCAAGATCCTTTCTTAGTCAAATTGTATCAGCAACACAAACACCAAGCCTCAATCCATCAATTCTGAATGTACCCTCTGTCCTTCTGATCCTTATTCTCATAATAAGGAGAGAATATTTCTTGCAAGTGCAAGAAACTTTTGTTATTTTAACAGAGAGTATGTCTCCAGGAAAAGGAAATGTCTAATGCCTTCTGGAGTTACCCACTGATAAATTATGATAGCATTTTCCCACTGATTAGGAAGACCTTGATTAGGAAAGAATGTCTATTTCAGTATAAAGGCGGGTATCACAACTGTGTTCTGATAGCACATTCCAGTCCACTCAAGCAGGGCGAGATCTTCCACTGCACCCTGGTGCAGAAAACAACTAAAACTAGCTTGCTGCAGCAGCCAAAAAGCTCCGCTAAGAGCTGACATGTTCAGATCACGTTCCAAAACTGGAATACTGCTTGTAAAAGGCAAATGAAATCTGCCTTCAAATCTTCCTTGAAAGCACAACTGTGTGCCAGAGGGCCCACACAGAGACTGTACCACTGCATTCCCACTCAAGCCTTCCAGATAGGCTTATCTGGGATTCAGGTATCTCGTAATGCCACTTGCACCAGGACGATATTCACTTACAGTGAATTACATCTAAGTAAAAACCATATATGCTTTCTCTTATCCAGCAGTCCAGTAATTAAAGCAACGTGATAATCTGAACATACTCTGTCTCATCTGACCTGATGAGAACAGGCCCTGGACCTTCTGGGGAGCTATGGGAAACTCACCGGTACGTTTTTTGACGGGTCTCGAGCTCTTTGCGTCTGTGCTGCTTGAGAATCTGGGTCTTGTCATCCCGGGGGAGCTTTGCTGTGAAACAGGGGAAAGAGACGGGGTTATGAGGTTCCTCTACCTATCACTGCCCAGGTCTTGAGGAGGAAAGCAAAGTTTCCAAACCTTCAAACTTCCAATCTATACCTTTTCAAAGTTTCTGTGGGAAATGCTTACACGATCCACCTCAAGTAGAAACACAGGTTCTTAGAGAATCTGTGGAAGGAGATAAGCTCCTAACTTGGTGCCTCCCAAGGAGCAATTATCTCAAACTAGGAACATCTGTCTCAACTGTATTGGATGCAAAACCTGGATTCCTAGTGTAGACACTTGCTGTACATATTTAGTGTTAAATGGTCTGAATAGGGTCATGGGAATTAATTTTACATTTCAGTATCTAAGGGAATTCTCACCAATAAGAGAAATCACAACATTGTTCCAGCTAATCTTCTCTGCTAAAAGACATCTCCAGCGAACATCTTCTATCCTCTCTACTTGAGCTGTGCTCTCCCCTGTCAGCTTGGGGCAATAATCATATTTTCTTATCATGGGAAGAGAAAGAAAAACCAGTGAGGCTTCATTTCCAGACAGCTTGCTCTTCTGACCATGTATTCACTATACCATTAAGTAACACAGAGACCCCCTTAGTGATCAGAGAAAGGGCAAGGTGCATGACTCACTTTACATACACAAATGGGAAGACAGATAAAGCCAGCAGGAGTTTCATGGAAATAGCTGTTTGGGGGTTGGAGTTGGAAATATCAGAGGTAATACAACTGATAACGTATATGGCTAATGGTTTCCAGCTGGTTGTGTTCAAGTTACCAAGAGCGTTTCACTTGCTTTTGTCCTTTACCTCACCATACTGTGAAAGCCATGTAAAGCTGCTTTCCATGGAAGTGTTACAGTTGCTATAAATCCAATTATGAAAAATGGAAAGTCCCTCTGGAGACCAAAAATAAACTGATACATAGTTGTGATTATAGGACAAAAGGCTTCAAATACAAAATTCCTCTGCCAGGAGTAGCCAAAAACTTAATGCGAAGACTTCCTACCACCTCATATATTGTTTCTGCTGTTGTCAGGCACTCATGCTGCAGACCACTACAGCAGCCAACCTACCCTAGGAAGCACAGAGGGGAACAAGCAACCATCAGTGACAAACGGCTGCCCCAACCCTGATCACAGCAAGTAGGTAGTCAGAGACAGTTAAAACACAAGCTTCAGGTCAACAGGCCACTCTGAACAGAGCACAGAAGTGCTGTAACACTTTTCTCAGTTGGTCACCACTACTTGCAGCAGTCATATCCATCTCACCCTGCCTTCTCCTGGACTTGACAGCATGCAAAGAGAAGGGGTGAAAAGTGAAGCTGCTGTTTCAAGTCTGTCCTTGCACCTGCTGAGCAGCCTACTTGGGGATTTTATTTCACTCTCAAGAAAACAAGACAATTTACAGGCAATTAATCATGGGCCACTTAGGGGCTTAGTATGAAACGAAGATGGGACACTAATTCTAATTAGATCAAAAGGGCTTCCAGCAATGGAGATGTGGAGCAGACAAAAATTTGGCATTAGGGTCAGCCTTCAAATTCAAGATCAGTGTAACAAGCCAGCGTAAGGACTCTTCCTTGCATGTGCTTCCCAAAATATCCAACTCAACTGCCAGTGCCCAGCCCAACAAACTGCTCAGAAAGCAGTCCTAGTCAGCAGGGAAAGCCCATTCCCTAGGATGCAGAAGAGGACTGGCAGCGGGTCTCCATGTGAGAGGGAAGGTTGGGAGGTTACATGGGGAAAGGGAAAGGAGAGGTGGAAGAATTCTGGATGTTCTGCAGGAAATCAGGTTTCTTATGGCTCTCACCTCTTCCATCTCGAAGGACAACCTCTTTTTCATCTGTAATCCAACGGTAACACGGGAACTCCAAATAGTCACCCAGTGGCGTTTTTACAGTGATATACTTAAGGTACCAGTCATCCTGGTACCAATATTTTCGCTTCTCAATTTTTATTAGCTGAATTTCTCCAAGGTCTTCTTCCACAGTCACATCATAGGAGTCAACCTACAGAGCAGAATACAGCCAATGACCCACTGCACATGCAGGAAGCACAACCAGCACTACACAAGCGTACCTGGCCTTTCCTGATATGGCGTGGGTACAACAAAACTTTCCAGCTTCGGGTGGGTGAGAAAAGGAAGGCCTATTATTGGACTGCAATGCAACAGAAAGATGAATAAAAGAACAAACAAGAACATGCAAAACACTCCAGAAACAGAGAAACATTTTCGTATGCAACCTAAAAATGATATTACTCCTTGAAATGTTTGCAAGTCTGAGAAAAACATGCAGACCATGAAACCATTTACTGCTTTCCTAGCAATAGCCGAAAGAGGTATTGCTAGGGCACATCTATTCATGCAACTGGAGTGGAAAGATGATCATGAGATTAACACATTGGACTAGGAATCTAAAGACCTATATTAGTCATATGTGCTTCAGACTAAGGACAGTATCCAGATCACCTAAATCCGCTTTGTCTTGTGCTTCCTGTGGCTCGTCTTCTTCAGTTCTCCATTTTTAAAATGAGGACAATGGTACATTTTACATTTGTACAGCTCAGATTTGGACAATGATACATTTTATGTTTGTACAGCTCAGATGTACAAAGGAATTTAAGTAGCTCACTGAAAACAAGGTTCACAGGAACCCCATCTAGCTCTGGAGGCACTTCATTCTTTCACAGAAAACAAGCCAGCATGTGGAATCGTGGTTTAGCTCCTTCCTCAGTTTGGAGTTAACTCAAAGGCCTGACTCCTGCAACTCCCAACTGAGGAGGGACCTCAGCCTAGACTTGCACAGTAACTAGTCTGTTTAGTCCTTTCCCATGCTGAGGGTCTGGTCACAGAGTCTTTGCACTGAGTTGGTACTAAAGCCTAGGACCACCCATACCTGGGAGTGCCTTCAGGAGTGCCCTCATCAGTGGCCTACAGGGACATGCTTCTGAAACCTTGAGTTATTGGCCATGCAATGATCCAGGTGAGGAGCAGATCAGTCCTGGTGCTGCCCCTACACCAAGCTTTGCTGAAGTGCAAAGGCTGCAGCTCTGAACCTGGTCAGGCTGAGGAAGTGACTGAATACCATGCTTTCCCTTTCTTGATGACTGCTCCAGCAGGGCTACAAAAGAAGTAGCAGTGAACATTTTCTTCTCTTTCTGTTTGAATTACAATGGCTTCAACTACCATTGAAGCTCAGCATTTCTTCCATGTGGGTAGGCCTGTTCTCAGCCCACATTTATGATTTGGCTTCTCAAGGCTTCACCATCAGGTGGCTTGAAAAGGACGTGGAGCTGCTTGGCCCACCAGGATGAGTGCATCTGTGAGCACATGTAATAGCAAACCTTAGCTGCTAAGTGCTCTAATTACTGAGGTGTGATAAGTGGCCGCACTGAAGGCATCTAGACACAACAAGATGACTTTGGCCACCAAGGTCACGCACCAGTTCACTGTGTAAATCGCCTCTTCCACAACACCGCTTTCAGTGCCGCAGCTACACGGCCAGGCCTGGGAGAAGGACAGTTGTGGACATGGTGCTCCGCTCAGCACTTCTTGCCCATGCTAAGCACCCCCCCACTCAGCACAACGGCTCTTATGAATGCTGACTTAAATGTCTTGCTAAATTGCCTAACAGATTTAGAACAGTGAACACTTATTCCAGAGATGGATACTTCAGTCCCCTCATGGGGCTAACTTCTCAGGGATGCATGTAGTCTCTTAGTGGGGACAGCACCCAGCAAATGACAGTTCTGGTGGCACTTGCACTATTAGGCAATACCAGCATAGGAAGAAATGAGTAATCATTTCAAATATGACCAGTAAGACACTATGTGGTGCTAGGCAATGCAGGAGAACAGGAACTGACTCTCAATTTCCAAGAGTGTAAACAGCTCAGGGCAAACAGGAGTAGCCAAGTGCTCATCGTAACAAAGCTGAATTGGCTATGGCAAGCATGAGAGCAGCAGCCAAAGCCTACTCTGCTCAGATGATCCTGCTAAGCTTCACGTGATTACAAGTGGAGACTTCATTCTCTTGTGGGTTTTCTCAACACAGTCAACAATCTCTGACACCAACCAGCTGCTGATATCAAAAGGATGAGGTACTGCGTTGACACGCTGCAGGGCCTGTAGAGACTCACCTGCCTGTGTGAGCTTTGTGATGTGGCTCCTACCTAGACACCACACCCTGCTTGTTCTTTCCAGGAGCACTCTCTTAGCCTTCTCCAGGCATTTGATATATGCCCACTGTTACTGTCTTCCTTGCTAGGGAAAGGCTAATTCACATAAGGACCAAAACTGAAAAGTGAAGAAAGGTTAAATTCCAAACAGGAGAAAGGAGGAAAAAAAAGTAATTTTTAAATGCCTCCAGATGGCACTTATTATTTCAACTGTTACAAAAGAAAGATTCATAGCAACTTGCACTCACATGATTGGAAGAACACACATAAGAAGGATCCCTTGGCATCCCTTCCTCTCCCATTTTGACCCAAGTTTCCCACATTATTGATGCAAAGCACCCTTTTGTATGAGCTATCCATGAATTACCAGCTATGATGATCATTTTGGGACGAAGACATCAATCTGTCCCCCAAAGTTTGGGATGACAGACCTCAGTTCTCTCATATCCCATTACATAAAAATACCAGCTTTCATAAAGTTTGTCACATCTAATTGACTCATAGAAGCCAGAGAAAAATAAAAAACCCTTTAGGCTTTGAAGTCCATCCTGCAGACAATGAAACATTGTCCTTGCCTGTCTTTCCCCAAAGATGTTCCTCAATCAACTTTGAAACTGTCAGGCCATGATTGCTACACTGCAACTCATATGAGGCTGTTTCATACTAACAAGTATATTGGAATTTCTTCTAATATGCAGCCTAATTTAATTTTAGGCTCAAATATTTATCATGGGCATGGACGGTGCTTATTTTGATTTGCTGAGACTTAACTGACTAATCTTAGTCTGAGCTATAATCCCCTCATGTCTATTAAAGCAAAAGACATTTAACTGTTTCTTTTAAAAAGGAAGCCCATCATGTCTTAAATAAAAATTTGAATGTTTATGTCAATAGCACACCCATACACACCAGGTGGTAACAAACTGCTTCACAAATAGCGTGGCGGTCCTTGGCAAGCTTGGGATGACAGCACCTGTCTGCTAGGATGTGAGCTGAGAGAAGAAAATCACAGAGATGAGATTTCAACCAACATATTAAAATGATGCTTGTCACTTTTCCCTGCATCTCCATAGCAGAGAAGAAATAGTTCTTTCTGTGGAGCCAATAAATACACTAATTTTAAACATTTTTTGAAAGTTTATGTTGCTGACTCTTCAATTCCCCCACTATCCCAGAAGAGCTAAAAGGATAATGTGTAAAGGTAAATTAATTCCCTTGATGATTCATGATTTCGAACCAGCTGTGGAGACTGAAAAATGTTGAGTGGCTTTTCTCAGAAATCACATTAGTAATGCCTTGACCCACAGCTATGACAGTCAGTGACTGTAGGACATACCCCTGCACTCCTGGCTAAGTTAATGGAGATTCCTCCCTCCCACAATGCTGGTTTCAAACAGCACCCTGATCTTTGCCTATCACCCCATGTCCACTATCCTCAGCTTCACTCTTGTCAATCAGCACAAAGAATTCTGGATGATGTCTAGAAAATGTAGATAACATGTCAGATTGTTTCTCATTCTTCAAATCTTCTTTCCAGAAATAGGCAGCACTTGAACCGTTTCTATTTCATATTAATTTCCCTGCAACTCCTGGTTTTCTCAATAAAAACAGTGTCAATAAACTCTTTACCAGGCTCGGGTTTCGCACTGAGTCAGTACTTCTGCAGTTACTTAAGTCTTTGCAGGACCAGACAGCACTTTGCAGAAGAGTCCGTCGTCACAGGCTGTCATACTCACACTGTCATACTTGTATCTCAAACTCAGCCACTTCCTAGGTGTGCACCTCTTTATGCAATTAAAACACAAAGCGAATTCTCTCTTTCAATTTTACCATGATCTTGTTGCATTTGGCAGTCAGGAGCTGGAAGTAGCCACCTCGCAGAGACACAGTTCAAACGAATCACAAACCTCTCTGAATTATTACCCATCTGTGTTCATCACTATAAAAGGAATTTAAACATGTAAAGACTAATGCGATAACCTGCAGAAGCAAATGATAAACTGCATCTGGATCAGATTCGCTTTGTATTCAGCTACTTGGGATTTTTATGTTCCATCTTCTCACGCATTTCCAGTTCCAGGGCTAGTTGTGTACAGGGGAAGAATAAAGTGACCAAAGACACTGTCTGGATAGGGGAAACGTACTGCATTATTTTTAGCTCAAGTCCTTACGAAAACTTGTTGCTGTCAAGTGATTAGTATGGCACAGAAAGTCTGAAATTAGTCTTATTTTCTCATCACCTCCTTGTTGCCCAATATACCTGACTATCCTTTTTTTAATTCATGTCCTTTAAAGGTTCAGCTAACAATTTTCTTTTTTAAAAAAACCTCGTTTACGTGTATATATTTCTATAGTTCTTATAATGTCACACCTAAGATATATACATCTAAGATTTAAATTAACGAGCAATGTGAATCAGATCCAAAGAGTTGATAGAAATGTCATATTGACGGCCAATCTTTGGAAGAAACTCATTCCTCTGGTAACAATCTCTTTGCTAATATTACAAGAACCCTAAAATAGTTGCACAAGTCACTATCGATATAATGCAAAAAGAACATTCAATTAGCCTAAATGTTCCTGAAGGTTTTTAATCTTTTTATGACCATCACAGTTCCCATTTTAATGGCACTTCTGAAAGTGAGGGTTCTCTCCTGATGTCTCACCCAGCTTTCGCTGCCTCCAAGCCAGTGACGCCATTGGCTCACCTGAGATGACAATTTTACTAATGCAGTAAAGGTATGTCAGGTTACAAAGATGGTACAAGGTCCAGGTAAGAATTGACAGTTGGTTGCTCAAGGTTTCTATGGCATTTGTTGTACGAGGTCTCC